AATGGATAGATAGTGCTTCATGGCCTAGAAAGCAAACAGTGGCAGAGACAAATAAAAAAGAAACCTTTACAATATTTACATCTTTGCAATCCATTTGTGCCCTTTTGTTTCTAGTTCTGAGGGACCACAGAGAACTGCTTAGAAACTGGACAACCATTTTTAGTCTTGTTTGTCTCATGCTTCTTCTGTTATCCTTCCAGGAATCAGTCCCTCTTCTCAGCTAAGGGCACACTGTTGTTGCCTTGTCTTTTTTTTAACCTACTGTAATGCTAACAGATTATATGAAAAGAGAGGATATTTAAGCTCACTAAGCTACTGGCGAGTTTGGGCCTCAGTGAGTTTCTTCAGATCACAAGAGTAAATTACAAAACTAATCATGTTAAGCAAGTGTGTGGGTAAATCATGTTAGCCAGAGATTTATCCTTTCCCATGTGCGCAGAAAGAAACATGAAATAACCATGTTGTGTAAGATTGTTTTGGCTCAGGTATCTACAAGAGATGAACCATGTTTTCTGTGGTTAGAGGCAAGAAGAAACTGTAATCTTGTCCCAGCCATATTTGAACATGCTCATTTTTGTAGTGTATAGACAGAAAGTCAGTCACTTGTTGTATCTACATTGGACTCAATAATTTATTAACATTTCCTATCACTGCATTGCCAATGTTACAGCTCCATCAGAAGCAGGACAGACCACCAGCAATTAATTCATCATACTCCGAGTGAGCCTAGATGACACAGGTGTTAAAAATCCCAACAGCCTAAATGAGTGCTTGCCCCACTCTTGCCATGAGTGGAGATATGTTACTGAAAGCACAACAGTAGGAAATTTGAAGAATAAATAGCAATAGAGACAGAGCCATATGCCCACTGAAATCAGTCACACCACTTTGGTGGTACAGCATCTGGCCTCATTTGTCTCAATTTTCACATTTATACTACCTAAATAACAAAACCATAATAACAGTCAGAAGTATGTTAAATCATGCCAGATATATGGTGTGTGTGTGTGTGTGTGTATTTCATACAGTAATATTTGATATAATTAAATATATTTAATTATATTTCAGTGAAACATTTTGAACACGTGGGATTTTGGTCATTTCATGTGAAAACCTTTTTTACAAAAAGCAAAACGCCAATAAGTGAATCTGTTTCAATTTTCAAAAAAATCATCTTTGAGTTTTGGTAAAAATATTTGATTTTGAAAACCAAAACCACATTCCTTTTTTTACTATAAACTAAAACCCAAAGAAACATACTTGTCCTGGAAACTGATATTTTACAGAACGATTTTACTGCTTAAAGGGAGGGGTTTATATTAATCCACCCTGCCCTGCAAACCCCGGAAATATTTTACCAAAATTAAACTGTCCCACAATTTCTTTTGTTTCGGCTGAAAAGCCGAGAAACATTTTGATGAAAAAGTGCGAGCTGCTTCTAATATTTACTCTGCTTTGTAATGTGCTATGGTATTCTTGTGGAATAGGCACTATATAAATATACATAATAAGTAATTGAGGATTGCCATTAATTTTTAATGTTTATGCAAAAATATGAAAAAGCACTTGGGTTGTGGAATGAAGCTCTGTATTTCCATCAATGCCAAAGCTAAGATAGTTCACCCAGTATTACCTCTGTCCACTTTGGTGCATGCATTGCAAATAGGCTTGGCAGAATTCAATTTTTATTTTCTAGTAATTTTGATGGATAATATCAATGCTTGTTTTTAAGTATTTATTTAGATTTTTATTGATTTAAATTTTCAGGATTGTTCAGTTTAATGGCCTGCCACGATAAATGTAACTACTGTAGGACTGCCACCAGCTAAGCAGCAGAGCTGCCATCAGTCTCGGCTGCTGCTTGCCCGTAGCTCCCTTGTCCACTTTGTCACTTCCTCTTCCTTTGTTCCTAGTTCCCTGGGGTTTCTGGGAGTTGCAATCCAAACCACAATCCGCACGGTGCTGTAGGACTGCTCCTGTTGTCATGCGCTCCATCAGCTGTTATTTTTCTTATTTTTCCCTTTCTATAAATTTCTGTTATTAATGATGGGAATTTTTTTTTGTGCTCATCTGTGAGTGTGCAGTGAAATTGATGTTATTTAATGTTGACCAATAAAAATCTAATCCTGCCAAACCTAATGATGAGATACCTTTAATTATAGCATGATATGCTGTTTCACTGTTGATACCAGTCAGACGATGATTGAGGAAGGACAGTGAATGAGGCAAGGCTCCAGAGAGGATTGGTTAGGGTACAATAAATGAAACTAGGGGCCACACCCAGGATAGAAACAGGACGGGAAAGGAGCAAAGGAATTGCCATGTGGGATCAGCCCAGTGGTGTACCTCATCCAGTGACCAACAGCAGTTGCAACAAGGGACCCTAAGGCAGGCAGTTAGAGAATAACTTGCCCAACAGAAACTTTTTTTTGCTCCTCCTACTTAAAAGTCAGCTCATGCCATGAAGCCTAGAAGTGATATGTGGAACAGCTGCCCCATTTTGTGAGGGCCCTAAGGAGAATACAGCATTTGGTGAGACAATTAAATCTGCATTTGAACACAGGGAGCTGAATGAGGCTTGCACAAGCAACCTTACTTTGTGTCTTTCCAGGCATTTGAACACTTCACTTTGCAGCCCTAGCATTTCCTTGACAGAGATTTTTATACTGGAAAGGGTTTAAACTGGGATAGCCTGGGATGCAGGATGCTTGCTTGGGGACAGGAAGCACAGCAGGACATTTTTATAGGCTTTTTCACAGAGCAAATGGCATGATGGAAATAAAATGATCTCATCAGACCAGCAGCACCCACTGTCAGTGGGAAAGGACCTAGCCATTTGCAGTTGGCAGAAAACCAGCAAATGTTAGTTGGAAAATGAGAGATACTTTTGTTATTTGCAAATGCAAACACTGGAAGGTCAATATAGCTTAGCTTTTACCGAAGCACCGGTTTGACAGTAGCTTAGATGCTGTTTACATTAAACTTTAAATGAATGCAGTTCTTGAGATGCCGCTAAATGATTTTATCTTGGTTTTTAAATAAAATCCACATACAATCATACTGCATCCCTTCCCTGCTGGCATGTGGCTCAGTTCTTGCAGCCAAGAGATCCATTTAATAGTTTCATTCAGGCTGGCTGGCTCTGGCTTTTGTTTTTGTTCTGTATTTTTCCTCCTAATCTCTCCTAGGAGGGACAGTGCAGCGGCTACCAAACCAATCAACCAACCAACTAACCAAGTTTTTTGATCCCATCTGTCTCTCTTACAATGTTAAGCCATGAAGAAAAACATAACCAATTTGTTTTTGATTTACAGTCTTTTTCTCTCTGTTTCCCATCACCTTATATGCCCATGCTTGCTTTCTTCCACATGCTATTAAGCCAGCACCATATTTACAGTGGTTAGTAGAACAGCAGGTTTCTATGCCATTTCAACCATGTCTACCCTGTAGTTTTCCAAAAACTCCTAGACCATTGCATTGCCACCATCAGCAATGGTGCCAAGTTAACGTAGAGCAGTGGGGGACAAACTTTTTGGCAGCCCCACACCCTCCTCAAGTGCCACACAACTCCTTTTCCCTGCCCAATCTGCTGCTCTGCTTTATGCTCCCATGCCCTGTGCTCCCTGTCAAATCTGCTGTTCTGCTTTCTGTTCCCTGCCCCATCTGCAGCTGTGTTCCCTGCTCCCACCCTGAACTGTGCGCCACAGAGGCTCTCCATGCCAGTTATGGATGTGTGCTACAGGTTGGCCGCCCTTGATGTAGGCTGTATGTGGGCAGCTGATGGATTTTTAAAACAGCAGGCTTTCTACCCAGGGGTTGGAGGGCACAGTAGTTAAAAATGCCTGTAGTTGATCTTTGGATGTATGCTCCCTGTCCTTTAGGCCACCACTGGAGAGCCATTTACAGTAGTGTACCAGTGAGAGAGATTTTTAAAACAATTTTTGTATAAATAGGCTAATGAAACTCTGGCAATGATAACCATGTTAAGAAATAGTTGTTGCAGGTAAGTTTCTACAATAGGTTCCTTGACCAGTGTAAAGAGGAATGTTTTATCCCCTTGCTCATATGACAATGGTATTGGAGTGGGAAATGTTCAAAGATGCAGGTGACTCTTAGCTAAGTGCCTATATCCAAGTGACTTTCAATAGACATTGTGTGCCAAACCACCCTTTGCACTTTACAAGTATTTCCCCTAAATATTTGCATTTACCTAGTTGGTGACAAGGCTTTTTAGCATGAGCTAGTTAGCATTGTTCTCAGAAAATGTTACGCTAGTCAAAGAAAGCAAGGGAACCGAAAGAAAGCAAAGGAACCCTTAGACTAGACCTTACTAGTCTAATTTAATCTTAGACATTGATCCTGCTGCAAATACTTACAGTGATTCTCAATCAGGGTGCCGTGGCATGCCAGGATACCCTGAGATCCTTTCAAGGGTGCTGCAGGGTTTCATGCAGTTTTAGCAGTGTTATATGAGTCATAAAATAAACCCAGGGATTTCAAGTAGGAATCCATAGTGTTAAAACCCTTCTGCCCTGTTTTGGTCTTTCTAAATTCTTTGCAATAGAAACATTGCTCTATTATTTTTCTGTGTTCAAAAATGAGTGAAAACTAAGAGCTGGCATTATCTAAGGAGTGTCTTGAGTCAGATGAGGGGCACCTCCAGTTGGAAGAGGGGTGCCTTGAGTCTAGAAAGGCTGAGAACCACTGTCTATGCACATCAAGAAATAGATGCAAGATCCAAGTTTGGGGATGTAGATTGTCTTAGGCCTAAATCTTGGACTTATGCACCTAAATATCATTGAGGATCTGGGCTGTAATACTATATGTACTGTATGTTCATAGTTAAGCAAACTCAAACCTTCATGTCCCTCTAAGTTATCTCTGAATGCTCTCAGTGGGAGAGGACTGGATACATTTGTTAATAGAACTCTCCTTTGGACACAGCAGAAATGAGAGGAATTAACTGTGCTAGCATTACTTGACAATTCATGCATTTTTAGGTTCTCAGAGACGAAGACTCATCCCGGCTTTATCACTTGATACAAGTTCCCCAGCAAGGAAACCTGCCAATAGCCCTGGGGTCCGTTGGGTGGATGGCCCACTGCGAAGTGGACAGAGAGGGATTGGTGAACCCTTTGAAATCAAAGTCTACGAGATTGATGATGTGGAAAGACTCCAGCGGCGACGAGGAGGGGACAGCAAGGTGAGTGCCATCCAAGCACCGAATTCCCGCTTCTGCCTCAAGGGCCTGATTCTGAAAGGTGCAGAGTAGCCTTGGGGACACTCAGCATCTCACAGAAGGAGGTCCACAATCAAAATGTGAAGTTCATAGATGAGCAGCTATAAACTAAGTTTGCTCTCTTCACTGGAAGCTCCACTGGAAGTGCACTATGACAGGCTGTGAGGTTGCAACAAAGATTTAGGGATTTAAAAAAACCCAACTTTAATAATTAGGGGAAAAAATGCTACCACATAACTGGGGAAGACGGAACACAAAGGTTTAAAACACGCTGTCTCCTAACACTTCACTCACATCTGCCCAGTACTTTTTTCTCAGTCCCCAGCTGGCTCCAGTGGATGGCAGGAATTGTCGCTGTCTCTGCACTGAAACTCCCCCTTGACCCCAGAGTTCTTGGCTTCTCTGAGGCCCTCAGCAGGCTGCCTCTGTCCTGCCACTCCAGCCTTTTCAGCTGCAGTCCCCAAGTGGCAGATCCCCTCCATCTCCGCTCTCTGAGGCTTCATACCAGCGGTCTTCAGTGGACTCCAGCAGGCCGTATGCTGGAAGGTACACACACAAGCATGCCTGCGTGCATATCCATTCTCTAGCTCCCCGGCTTATATTTCCACCCCCAGCTTCTAAAAGAGTTGGTGTTCTCAGGAAGAGACTACTTCCAGCACCGTCTAGAGGGCAGAGTGCAATGAGCTACGCCCAACCCTTCTACAATGCAGCCATAAAGACTTTCCCCAACGGAACAAAAATCCATCCAAAAAACCCCACTTTCAATAGGGAACATCAAAACAAACAATACAACTATATCATTGTTATACTCACAAACACTCCTTCCATCTGTGCCTACCATGGGCTCCCTGGTTCTGGACTTGAAGGATCTGTACTCTGAGAGCCACTGCTACCATCTCCCCTTAGATTGGCAAGCAGTTGTGCTTTTGATCATTTTGATTTTGTGGCTATGAATTTTGTCTTTCTCTGGCCATCTGCCCATGTTTGGTCCTCCCAGCTTTTAAAAACCATCTAAAAACTTTAAAGGCCATCTCTGTAGCTGGTGACAATTGAAGTTTCATGGAAAGGCTGAGGGAACTGAATTTACACTA